TAATGGAGACTGAGAAAGAGGAAAAGAGCAACAGGTCTTAAGTCCTGTTGGCCCCCTTGTACACAGTGCCACTCGCCAGCCCTCTCTTTCACATCTTCTTTGGTGACTGCTAGTCTAGATCCTTTCTGCTCTCATCTTGTGCTTTGGATATAGCCTCTAGGGCTTGCTCTCTTGTTCAAAACACTATTCAAGATATGGTCAGCGACCACATAGTTCTCTGGAACTTGGTTGGTCATGGAGTTTAATCTAGACCTAGAGAGGACATAAAGCACCCATGAAGGGGAAGATAGAAGTGAGGGTGAGTGTTGGAACTTGGGAGGAGAGCATCACGTGGAAGGGTCATGTTGAGAAGTGCTGTTCCCTTCACAGTCAGTTCAAGGCCCAGCCGCACGGGCTGCGGGGGAATACATACTGTCTTCTCACTCTGTTCCTTCATCCCCTTGTCATTCTGCATGGAGGCTAAGTGAGCCCACTGTTGTAGTGCATGCAGCAAAGTCTTCTTAGGGCACAGAAGATGACAGGGAAGGTTGGGGCAGGAGCCAAGGGATAAATATTCTATGCCTATATAGTATTGTTTATATGCTTGGAAATTGCACAAAAGATCTAAACTTCTCATGGGGATGGTTTCACATGTTCTTGGTAATAGTTGAAGTGTACATATGAGCACACACACACCCCAACACAATCCTCCTGTAGGCTGTCTATCTATATCTCTGTATTTATCCTGGGATCACAGTGCTATAAGAGCCATTTTAACATTAGTTTCCATCATTGTAGCTGTATTTACTTTGTGTCTTAAACATCATCATCTTCCCTCTACTATTTCAAGGTCCCCTTATCCTGGTTGTTGCCAGGGATCCCATTCTGCAGAAGCATCTCCTACTTCAGCATCAGTCCGTGGAGGAGGGACATCATGGAAGCCATTGCTACCCTTGCACTCCCTTCACTCTGCCCTCCCCCACTAGCCGTCCTCTGAGAAGCCAGACCACTCACACCAGAATTTACATGCCTGCCCCTTTTGAGGACTTGCTCTAAACCAGTGGCTCCTGAGAAGGGTACTAAAAGACAGCCTATAGGGTCAGGGCTTGTGATGGGGGTGACTTTGACAATCCTTGAACTAAATAATTTTGGAAATCCATCACCTTATTATGTAGGACAGATGTAGAGAACACCATCTCCTCTGGAGATATTTTAAGCGTATCTTAAGATAGTATAAGTAAGTGTTTATTATATGTGTACTTGTATATGTATTATATGAATAAATGTTATTTGCCAAAGAGATATTGTGAAAAGTCACATGTGTCAAATACTGGACAATGACTCTGCCAACCACACCATCCACTGTCCATTCTCTTCACAAGCTACTAGAAAGCAATGTTTGTCCCAAGAGGACTCAGTTGCAATTTCTGTAGTTTCATTTGCATCGCTAGGACAATGTTAGTACATTAATCTCAGACCTATTTTTTTTACACTGGTTACAATTATAGTCTCCATGTAGGGTAGAATGAAAATGGAGCAGCTTAGGGGCCCGTCTCAGGAATATTTGCATTTCCCAGAGGACTCTTAGAGCTCAAAATAGTCTTAAAATTAAAAAGAACAAGTGGGCAGCCTTATCAAGAATGAGACTAAGAACACACAAGCACAAAAAGTCATAATTAGTTCTTTGAGAAATAATTGAATATCCATATTAAAAATGGATTGTATTGTATCAAGGGATGTCAAAGTCCTTTTGAACACAGCACCGGCATGCGCCATGAGCCATTCTCTTCTTCACACTCATGATAAAGTTTAGCCACTTCTACTGAGAAGGAATAGAAGCAGGGCAACCAATGATTTGTGTACGTTATTCTGAGAGTATGGTGTCTCTCAGTGCTCAACTCCTCAAGGCTTTTAGTCAAGCACCATCCTTAGCTTTTGGCATCTGTCCATTGAACACATCTAGGGGGTCATTCTAACCTCCTTTCTCTACCTCCTTGCCTACATTGGTGCGTACTTGGGCTTGCTACCAGTCAGGTGGCATTTTCTGTCTTGGAAGCCAGAGGTGTAGTGAAACCCTCTTCCATGAGCCTTGGTTGCTCCTGTTTTCCATGCCCTTGGATCTTTGTGATTTTGTCATTTAGATACATAAATTGGGCCAACTTTGAAATGTTTTCAAGCACTTCTGCCACTCTACTGTTCTCCAGTTTCCCTGTTTTATCACATCTCTCAAGTCTCTCAAGTGTGACATTCTAACATGAGTCCTATGGCTAATGTCATGGAACAGACTTTGCTGCTCTGTCTTGTCTCAATGAATGCAACTTTAGTTTTCTGCCTGTGGGATTATACCTTGACTTGGAAAATTGGATTCTTTTATATGGGGCTGTATTAAAAGAGAGAGAGAGAGAGAGAGAGAGAGAGAGAGAGAGAGTGTGTGTGTGTGTGTAACTGGACACGCATGTCCGCATGTCTATGTCCTAAGGCATACATAGATTGAACATCTGATCCTGGAGAAGACAGAAGGATAAACCAATTGCCCTTCACAGAGAAGCTGCAAGAGGAGAAAACTGTGGTCAAAGTAGAATGTAGGCAGAGTAAGACAATCTGAGCAACAGGTAACTTTGTCCTTGGTCAAGGGACTCCTGCCTGTGCCTGTTAGCTCATCCTAAACCAGACATGTCAGCAGAGTTGCCTTGGAGATGAAAGAGTTCACTGGGTGTGATCTCAAAGGAGTGCTTCAATGGCAATTCTCTGTGACTCAGATATTGAGCATCTCGGTTGTGAAACAGAGATGAAGCCAGAGAGATGGGTGTGGCTGGGGCACAGAATGTTTGGAATATCACAGATTCCTTTGGGAAATGTAATGAATTACTGATTTTTCTCCCCACAAGAATATACCTGTATATAAAACTCTGTAATTTGAGGTTATTCATAAATCATCTGAAGTCAAATCCCCCAGGGTGTTCCTCATAGCTCACTGCAGGCTAAGCATCCCTCTAGTGTATAGTAGAGGCCATCAAAGGGTTTTAAGCAGAAGTATGGACAGATTCAATTTTTATTTTTGAAAAATCTTTGTGTGGAGGTTTGTGGAAAACCTAACAGTAAGAGGAAATATGAGCCAGACCAGTATGAAGAGGATTTGTTCTCCCCGAGCAGGTGAGAAGCATGGCATGAAGAGTGAATGGAGCGAAACTGGGTAGGGTATGTATTAATCAGGGTTCTTTAGAGGAACAGCACTTACAGCATATGTGTATGTATATATATGAACACATATATACATATATATTCTCATATGTGCATATATGTATATGTATGTATGTACACACACACACACACACACACACACACACACACATACACACACATATATATATCCTGGAATTTATTAGAGTGGCTTGTAAGCTGTGGTGTAGCTAGTCCAGGCATTGTGGTCTACCAAGGAAAGTCCAAGAATGTAGTTGTTCACTCCACAAGGCCAAATGCTTCAGCTGGGCCTCAGTGAAGTAGCTCTCATGCCAACAAAGGAAAGGGCTTTCCAGCAAGAGTAAAAGCAAGCAGACAAAGAGAGCGAGCTTCCTTTTTCCACATCCTTTATATAGGCTGCCACCAGAAGGTGTGGCCCAGATTAAATGTGGAACTTCCCGCCTAAAAATATCCAGATTGAAATGTGGGTCTTCCCACTTTAAATGACTTAATTAAGAAAAAAACCCCTAACACGTGCACCCAGCTACTTGAGTGTTAGTTAATTCCAGATGTAGTTAAGTTGACAACTAAGAACAGCCATCACTGGTGTTATGGGTAATTAGAGCTTGGGATTGACCTGCCTGTTTCTGAAGGGCCTGTGCTGTTAGCCAGAAGGGTTAGCGTTGGCAGGAGCAGACTGTGGGGCAGGAGATGTGGGTTGGGGCCACAGAGACAAGTTGAGTTCAAGCTTGCTGTGATTCTCTCATGGGCCATGCTGAGTGGGTGGGCATGTGGGCTGGAGCTCAGGGCAGAGCCTGGACTACTTAGGATTTTGGGCTACTTGGGTCTTTACAAGACAGGTCCTGTTTGGAGTCTTTCGGTGGATGAAGTGACTCAAAGTGCTGAGAGTGAGACAGTAGAGGGCGGAGTCCTGGGGAAGCTCTTGGTTTGGAAAGCCAGTGTGCAAAGAGAAAAGAACCAGGCTGGTTAAAGGTGGGGGCCTGAAGGAGGAGGAAGTGGTGGCATAGAAACCAAAGAGAGGGAAGAAATGAACAGTGTGCAGCAGTCAGGAGTGGAAAAAAAGCGATGGAGGCAATGCAAGGCTCTCCAGGTTAGAACAGGAAATGAGGCTTGCGGGACGTCGAGGTCGCTTCATTAGAGCTGTTACAATTGAGAATGACTTATGAGGAGAAGGGGAAGTGGACACAAAGTCCCATGCCTAACCAAGAAGCTAGTTGCAATTGATACCTTCTGGGAAATGGAAAAGAAGTTCTCCCCAATGGAGTGACACTGGGTCAACTACACTTCAAGGCAGGCCCCACGTCCAGGAATAGTTGGTCAACATAAAACAATTTTACAGTTTTCACATGCTTTTTGTTTGAGTTCAGTATGTTTTGTCTTAATGATTTTGTTTGTTTTGAGAGAGAGAAGAAACATGCGTTTGGGTGGGGAGGGAGGAGTGGAAAATCTGGAGGAGTTGGGGAGGGGAAAGAATATGATCAAAATATTTTGTATGAGAATTTTAAAAAATAATAATAAAGAAAAAGCTACAACAAGGTAGGGGAATGGAGGGCTAAAGGCTAAGTATTGTGTACTGATAAGAACACAAGTTTGCTTCTCTGCATGTAGGTGTGTGTGTATGTATGTGTATGTGTGTATGTATGTGTATATATGTGTGTGTGTGAGTGTATATGTGTGTATGTGTGTGTGTGTATATATGTATGTGTGCATGTGTGTTCGTGTAAGAGAGGAAGAGAAGTGATTATAACTATGTGCCATGTGTCCATTTGTAAAGCAGCTTTTGCATAACATCTCCATGTATTTACTTTGTTTAATCCTAGAAGTCTCTTAGACTCCAGTCTATGGAAAGTGGCCTTGGGAGAATGGCAGCTGAGTCACAGGAAATGAGCCTCAGGATTGTTTCGACAGAAGCTGTCCAGACAGAAGCTGCCCCTGCTGGTTTCTATGAAGAGGAAGATGACTATGCTGAACCACGAGATTACTTCAATGTCCTGGGCTACCGAAGCCTAGAGAGCTTCAGTGTCCTAGCGAAGACTGTCTAAAGACAGTTTTATCCCACCCTTCCCCTCCCCCTCTCTCCCTGTGTGTGTTTGTGTCTGTATCTATGTCTGTGTTGTGTGTGAAGGAAAGGCAACCTTTATGTCTGTGTTGTTAGTGAAGTAAAGGCAACCTTTTTTCAAGCTTCATTTCTTCTACCCTTCTCTTCCATTTCTCTGTGATAGTCTCAAGGTAAACAGCAACATGATTATAAATGGAGATTTGAAAATTAATTTTGTTTATGTGTATGACTATCTGGTCTGCATATATATATATATGTACCACACATAGATGGTGTTTGCAGAGGTTAGAAGAGGGAATTAGATCTCCTAGAGACAGCCACGAGCCACAATGTGGGTGCTGTGAATCGAACCTGGATCCTCCATAGGAACTGCAAGTGTTCTTAACAGCTCTCACTAGCTGGGATTTTTTTCCAGAGATCTTCCTTTCTTTCTTTCTTTCTTTCTTTCTTTCTTTCTTTCTTTCTTCCTTCCTTCCTTCCTTCCTTTCTTTCTTTCTTTCTTTCTTTCTCTTATTTTTTTTTTTTATTTTACATATTGATCCCAGTTCCCCCTCCCTCCCTCCCTCCACCATCCCATTCTCACTCCACAGGGAGGGTGATGACTTCCAGGAGGGGTCAACAAAATCTATCAAGTCATTTGGAGTAGGGACTAGGCCCTCTCTCCTGCCTCTAGGCTAAGGGAGTATTCCTCCATGGGGAATGTGCTCCCAAAGTCCTTTTGTGCACCAGGGATACATCCTGGTTCCATTGTCAGAGGTCCCTTAGACTGCCCAGGCCTTCTAACTGAGACCCATGTTCAGGGGGTCTGAGTCAGTCCAATGCTGGATTCCCAGCTATTAGTCTGGGGGGGCCAATTAGCTCCTCCGTGTTCAGGTCAGCTGTCTCTGTGGGTTTCTGTAGCCTGGTCTTGTCCTCCCTCTCTGCATCTGGATTCCAGTTCGGCTCAGTGTTTAGCTGTGGGTATCTGCTTCTGTTTCCATCAGCTACTAGATAAGGGTTCTGTGATGGTGGGTTAGTTAGTCATCAATCTCATTATCAGAGAAGGGCATACTGTTGCTCAAATTGTTAGTTGTAGTCGGTCTTTACAGAAAGATTTTTTTTTAAGACAAAATAAAACAATAAAAACAACTCCAACATCCCCATTGACCTGGCTTTGAATTTAGTGATCTCTGTGGGTCTTCATGTGACTTTGGGAAATACATTCCTCATAAGAACTCAGGTAGAACTTTTGGCTCCAGGTGCTGATAAGAATGACCACTGGGCTTATTTCTCATTGCTATTATTATTATTATACCAACATTCACTCATTCAAGACATTTATTTATGAATGAAGCAAAATGCATACTTCTATGGGGGATTCAAGGATGGATGTCTTACAAAATGAGGAGACATTTATAATAAGATGTACTAGGAGATAAGGCTTTATGATTCGTGCCCTAGGAAAATATGCCAATCAGGGTGTGATGAAGTCTCCACAGAGAACAAAAGGATTAATGAGTCTGCCCTGGCAGGAGGAGGCATTTTCCTAGGAGGAGGTATTTTCCTAGGAATGCAAAAGAATTCAAGGTAATATAGGTTGAAGTCCTGTGAGAAATATCCTGGCACTCAAGGGGCTGGTGAATGTCAGGGTTTCTTCTTTAGTTGGGGATTTCCGGTCTGCTGAGCTCAGACTCTATTAGGACAGCTAGTTTAGAGAATGCCAGGTTCCTCAAGCTTCATGGACAGCAGAAGCCCTCAAGAAACTCCCCTTCACCTGGGAAGCCACACCCTGGCACTTGGGAAGCCACGCCCTCCACCTGGACCAAGGTAAACCTTCCTCTTCTGGATCAATCTGCCACTGGGCTTTGAAAATGAAACCTTTTTGCCACCAAAGGGAAGTCTACAGTCTTTAAAATAAGGACCTCTTCTGAAGACAAAAGAATAGGGTATTTGACTGAGGATTTAAAAATAAGACCCTCCTTCCTCATTGCCTGACCTCTTCGTTCTGGGATGAGATTGAATTATGTTGGCCTGCCTTCAGGCTGGATCTGACGACTTTGTCGGTTGCTTATCTCTCTTGGAGGGATGAGAAGGAGGTTGGATTTACCTGTGAGTGGTCTTCTCTCACAGGCACAGATCGAAGAGAGAAAAAAAATGTGAGCTTGTCTCTCTCCAAAAGCTTAAGTTGAGCTTTAGCAGGAAGGTAGCTACTCCTGTCCCTCCTGGGAAGGCCTACCCCCACATCACTTTCCTCTCAGATGGATCATAAAGGGTTAAGATGGGTCCAGAGCCCTTGCCTTTGGGAAGAAAGATGGGTACAAGTAAAATGGAATTTGTTGTTTGCTGGGGTAGTCCATAGGACTTGTCTTGGAGAACTAAAGCAAATTGGTTGAAAGTAGAACACAGCTTACAAATTGGAATTGAACTAAAGGTAAGTATGAACAAGAGAGGTGATTTAACTTGGAGAAGACAGATACTGAGCTGAGGCTGTATTGGGATTTGGGTGTCACTTAACATAATTGCAGTAAGTGGGAAGCATTTACAAATACCACAGGGATGGGGAGAGAATACAGAGGAGCCTATAGATGTCGGAAATGGGTCGGGTTGCTAAAATGAGATTCAGCTTGACAGAAAACAAATTTCAAAGTGGAAAGTGAACTAGTTTCTCTTCCGAGATTCACAGAAGACAAGTGCCAAAGGTCCAGACTTATGGAGACACGTGCTGCCCAGGACAGTAGCCACTTTCCCATGTGGCTGTCCCAGCACAGGTGCCATGAGCTTCATCCCAGATGGCACTTGCTGTTATAGGTCTAAAACACACACCAGATTTTGAAGACAATATGAATCATAAAATGTAAGCTGTCTCATCTGATGTAAAAATATTCATTATAATTTTAAATGATGCTTTAGATATTTTGGGGTTAAATAAAATATGTTATTACAAACTAATTCTCCTGCTTCCTTTTGCTTTTTAAACACGGCTCCTGGAGATCTAATTTTGTTTACACTTTTACATTACACTTTTATAAGCTTGAGCCATGCTGGAACCTGGGGTGCGAACTTCCTATCTTTGTCTCTTTCTCCTTTTAAAATGTTTGAGGGAGTCTCTCTCTCTCTTACCACATTGTATACGAAGTACATAGGCAAGGACCACAGAGAAATTGAAGGATGGGTGCTTAAGTGCTGACAGAAAGAGATTCCAAGTTCTCCTAGTGTCTGCCTGAGTTTCCCAATTGGAGCTGGCGTTCAGGAAAGAAAATATTACTGATTCTCTGCCCACACTCTGATACTGGGCTCCAATCAGATCCACAACTCATGAGATTAAACTGAGAAATGTTTAGTCATAGAGTATTGAACCTCATGAGGGGACAGAACCTTTCCTTGCCATTTTACTTCAGGAAGTGTCCTTTCTCAGACTCTGGGCCTTTGGAATGACTTGTCATATACTTGTGTCTTTTTGCAGTCCATTAGGGGAGGGGAGATAGTTTTTTGTCTGGATTCTTCCTAGTCCTACTCCATGTCTGTAAGTGGTAAAACCCCATCTGTCACCTCAGAGCACAGCTGTCTTGCTACTTGTAACAAGGACTTAAGCTTTCTCTCAAGTCAGACTATACCCAATGATTAGGGAATCTGTTTGGGGAGGTGGGGCATAGGCGGTCTAGTAGAACTTTCTGTGGGAATGTTCTACCTACTGTCCAATGTGATGGCCATTAGCCACGGGGGGGGGGGGCTACAGAGATCTAGGGATCTGGCAAATGTGACAAAGGAAATCCAGTGGAATTTTGTTTCTAGGCATTGATGGTTCTGTGGATCTTTTGACAGTGTTACCACCAGGAAGAAACATTGATGTTTTCCTTCTGTTTTGTCCTTCCTCTAATCAAGACAAACCATGAGGTCAAAAGCACGCTGCATATTTCCTTATTTCCAGCTCTTTCCATGGTGACCTCAAGTTGCCACGTGGTTCAATTCACAGTAACAGGGCCTGGATTGTCAAGAAGTTGTCAGCTTGCATCACAGAACTTATTCTGGATGACAGTAATTTAATTTCATGTAAACTGTGAAAAAGACCCTTCTCTGGGACTGAAACTACAGTAGGTTTCACAGCGATTCAAAGAGAAGCCACCCTAGTGTGGTGTGGAGTAGAAACTGGGTCTGGTTGGTTCCGACATCAGTGGCTGTAATGAAGCTGGCTGGTGGGGAGTTATTCAGTCTCTCAGTGTCTCACTACCACAACTCATTTGTAAATTAATAACAGTAACATTAGCTTCAAAAGACCTTAAAAAAATGAGGTCGGGCAGTTGTTGCTAAGTTAATAATAAAGGAACAAGTTAATGCTGTTACTGAGTTGGGCATAACTCACGGTGTCTCATGGTTTCCCAATGGAGGAACAGAACTTGTTGGGTGGAAACCAAGGAGTCTGCAATTACGAATGTTTTCAAAACTTGGGATTTGACAAATGATGAGTCGCTGATATAGTTTTGGAGTCCACTGGTTTCCTGTGAGCTTTGCATAAATTTTGTGTTTTTAGTGAAATAACCTTTTAAAAAGATGCTAATGATCTTATGTATGGTAGGGCACTGACATTGTTTTTCTATCCTCAGCGTTTATAGTTACATTGATGCCAAGGGACAAAAATCTACCTTCATGAATGATTCATTCGCTCCAGGTGAGTGGAGAAATGAAAGATTCCGCTGTAGTGGTCTTAGAGCAAATTCGGAGAAGACTGTCTTCTCTTTACACACTGCCCTGAGGCTGAGGTCCGGGCATAAACAGCAGCAGCAAACTTCACTGTGGACCATGGCACAGCTTCACAAAAACATTGTCCAATGTGCCAGCATCGTTATTGCAAAAATCATTCCTTTTATAGTTTTGTGTTTAATGTGTAGCCTTGGTTTTGAATCTGTAAGGTAAACAGGCTTATTGGAAGTTATGTCTGAGCAAATTTGGAAATTTTTGTAGCAAAAAGAAATACGTATGTATATGTGAATTTATTGGAAAGCATAAAGTATTCAGACTTTCTGCTATGAAGGGGACTTGGGAGATTTTTCTTTTCCCTTTAAAGGGATAAAC